GTTAGGATGGTTATAAAAAGAAGATTCTTACATAATACGCTCTGCTACTTTTCCAGTGTCTTCATCATAGGCTTGATATTGTCCAATAATCTGGTTTTTCCGCATGGTCTCACTCGCTTCAATAATTTTTATGCCAGCTGGGAATTTAGGGCCTTCTTGGACATTAATCACATTAATTTTGATTGGAATTGCTTGTGCTTTATAGCTCTTTCTAATGGACTCATGGAATTCTGCTTTATTTGTAACAACAATGCCCAAGTTTAGACTTTGCATTTCTTCATAATTTAGTTCCTAGAGCAATCACAGAAAAAGAGAGATCACTCAGAATTTGATATCTAGACAACAGTCATTCAGTTAGTATTTAAATAACATTGGTGAAAGATACTATAGTGTGAAGAACTGTCAGCTAACATGTTACTCTCAATATATAATGCTTTGCCTCTTAAGAGTGTATAATAGATTTTCTTTTTATTTTCCCATGGTTGGCATCATAGTTATATCTTTTATGTTACTGAACTTAAACTAATTCAAGGATAGCTGCAATGAGTCTTACCCGTATATTCCATCTTTACTTTCAATGCATCAGTACTCAGTATAACTTGGCTCTTCAAATATTTCTTACCAATTCCTTAGTGCTTACCAATTTTTACAATTAGTCAAGGAAACCAGAAGGCATGCATGCGCGCACACACAGACACACACAAACAAAAACCAAAAAATGGAGTTCTTAGGGTACTATGTATCTTCAGTTCTTATGGTCTGAAAGGGAGTGGAAGCTAAATGGAAGCTTACAAAAATAAATAGTCTGTAGCCTATGGCTCATGGAGCAAGCATTGCCTGCAATGTTATCTTTGACCACGGGAAATAAAAATTAAACTGAGACCACCAAGGAGAGCAAAAATAAGGTAAAGGTTAGAGTGTACATGTTCATCTTGCTGACAAATAGAAAAGTTTGGGGACTTCTGCCCATAGAGATACATCTGAGTTTCACATAGAATGCAAATGGAAATGCTGGACAAAATAGTTACTTTGCATGATATTGTTTTATATATTAAGGAACATTGAAAAGGAGCAATGTTCACCAGAAAAGTTATTTACAGTTTACAAACCAACTGAATGTAAATAATCTATATGTCAGTTTATACTAAAAAGACTAAATTATTCTGATATTTAAAGGAGATTCTGTAAAGAATATACTAACCTTCACAAGAGTCAAAATCCCTTCATTTGTTTGGGTATCTGTCTCTATATGAAAATAGCCACCTTCATTACCAGAAGCAAATGTAAATTTTGCCAGCCAGTTATCGGAAAACTCTTCATCTTTGTCAAATACTTTTATTCGCATAATTTCCACATTTGCTCTATTTTCTTCAATGCTTCCTTCAAGCTGCAATCAAACAATACTCTTTAAAAAGATGTGATGATTTACCTCATTTCTTCAGTACAGGAAAGTCTGCATAACGAAGCTGCAAACAATGTGATACTGGCAGGTATGAGAATAAGAATATTGTAAGCATACTTACCATACTGCTTTCCACAACAGGAAAATTGTCATTGACATCTAAAATCTTGATTTCTAAAGAACATTTTGCAGTATTCCCACCTGATTCACCACCTCTGTCTTTTGCTTCTACCGTCAAAGAATAGCTACTGTGTGTCTGTCACAATAAAAAGAATTAAACATTTAAAAGCAAAGCAAAGTTTTTTAGCATAGATTATTATCCTTATTATATTTTGTAGCTCTCTCTCATGGAAAGGACAGTTATAACACCCCCTCTCTCTAACTAGTATTAAATCTCACATACAACTACCTTGATTGCCTCCGCTGGAGTCCTGGACTTAGGAAAAAGAGTTATATTTCATCTAAAAAGAACGGAAGGTCAGTGGACATGAGCAGGGACAGAAGCAGAGACACCTGCATGCTATGACAAGGGTAGATGCAGAGACACTGCCAACCATCACCATCTGCTGGCTAGCAAAAATACATGCAAGCAGAGGTGAAGCTGCTGACAACACACAGCTTTCAAAACTGTCTCATAGCAGTAGGTGTCATAACTCTTTGCACCCTGCTTTACATAACAGGCTACAAAAACCACAGTAGAGCCAGCAGCTCTGCAGAGGGTGACGCTGGCCATCCTTGCTGTTTGCTCTGCAGCAGGGCAAAGCGACCCCTCGCTCCGTGCGATTGCGGCTTGGGCTGCAGTAAGCTGGCAGCACAGGAGGTGACCAGGCAACACAAACTTTATCCCGTCTCCCCCCTCCCAGTCCCTGAAAAAAATATGCATCAAGCAGGCAAGGGATCATCCTTTAATCCCAAAAGGGGCAAAGGAAGAAGAGAGCACCAGCTCTCTGCCTGGGCAGGTGGTGCCAAAGCAAGAGGCATTAGAAGCATGCTGTTACGAGATACCAGTGGGAGTTATTTTACCTCTCTGTCAAGGTTTATTGCTGCTACTTGAACTTCACCAGTATCCTTACTTATATGGAACGCAGAACTAGGATTTTGGGAAACGATTCTGAAAGCAATTTTGGAATTTAGATTATTTGGTTCATCTGCATCTGTTGCATTTATCCTCATTACAATTGTACCTGAAAAAGCAAACAAAACATAGTATTGGTTTACACTGCCATGCATTGGCAAGTATTTTTACTGCAGCATTCCAGGTAAGGGAGTGCTGTCAGACGTGCTGCACAATTTTCTGTTGTTCTTGCCTTTACTTATTTAATGAATTGAGCTGAAGAAGTGATCCTAAGATCCAAGTAATACTTGCTAAGAGTATAGCCTCTAATAAACAAAAACAAATTATCAACACACATCTCCAATTTACAGAATTCAGTGCCCCAGAGTTATTTGATAGATTAAGTAATGAGAACTCTGATAAAAATTCTGACAGAAAATTCCAGATATAAACAAAAGAAAACTAGAAAGCTATGTTAGACACAACCTGTATTCCACCACACATCACACTAAAGGGAGCAGTACTAACTTTTCTATCTGAACATTAACAAAATAATTGCTCTTTGCTAATATCCTCCAACAGCTTAACTCAAAATACATGGTAGACCCCAGGATGCAATGCTCTTCTAAGCCATGCCACAGGATCCTGCCCTCTTGGCAAGGGCATACCTTCATTTCTAGTACCCATATTGAGTTTAAACATTAGCTGGGATGCAGGTGACTACAGGTGACTACCATATGGCTCCTACTGACTTCAGAGAGGAAGGAGAGAACTCAATACCTCACAGAACTGGATCTTCAATAATTTATTTCTTCAGATTACTGTAACATTGAAACAGACACCATGAAGGATTTATCAACTTGCTTTACCCAAGCTTTCCTTTTCTTACCTCCTGGGAAACTATGTGTTGCCCCAAGATCTGATCGAATGACCCCGATATGTTGCCGCCTGCTAATAGGAAAACTACTGCTAACTTCTCTGTTGGAGTTTGGGTCAAGGTCAAACGCTCTAACAGCCAAGTACTTGTCCAGCCCACAGGAAAATTAGGGCTTCTCCTCAGCATGGCAGGCTGGAATCGACTCCCACAGAGAGCAGGATTGCTAGCCCAGAAAGTGGACCACATTTCCCACACGGTTCTTAAGGACTCTGGTCCTTGGAATTGTGGTAGCTTTGACATCAAGTTACCGTACAAGAAAGTGTTGCTCTGGTCTGCTGCCTCTGTGTGGATGGATACTTTCTCTTCATCACATCGGACAGCTTAGCCATGAATGGAAAATTTGCATGCAAACTCAGACAAATAATCTCCACACAAGTAAGAGAACCATGTTACTGCAAATATGTTATAGCAAAGATTATGTTCATTTGCATCCTTGCGTGGGTTGGGAAAAGATAAGCAAATAAACAATTGTAAAAATACTGTTACCTGCTTTACTTAATTCTTCAATTGAACCAACAAAAAATTCATGTGAAAAAACTGGGGAGTTGTCATTTATATCCACAATTTTAATTGGGAGGTCTATTGGCTCTTCCAGTTTTGCTCCATTTTTATCCAGCGCATGACCTCTGACCTGAAATACAGAAAGCAAATAACTTGAATATATATGCCTATACCTTACTTTGTCATGGAGATTAAAAATCCAGAAACATTAAAAGTAACTGAAGTCAACACATTCGAACAAAAAATAAAAATAAAAAAAATCCCATAGAATGACATTTGCAAGAAAAAACATAGCTATTCAACTTACAAGCAGCATTGGAGTCTTTTCTCGGTCAACCTTTCCTGTTATGTTCAGGTCCCCAGTCTTTCCATTGATAATAAACAATCCATAAGGGGGTTCTGTTACTCCTTGACCAGATATAGTATAAGTTACCACTATCCCTGTCTCTTCAAGATCAGAATGTATCTAGCAGGAATACAACAGATTAAATTGCATTTAGTAAATAAAAACACATTACGAACGCAGAGAAAATGTTTCTGGTCTTTTTGTAATCAACAACAAAAACATTAAACAACACTTTCCTGGGCTTGTTTGGGTATGGAGATCTTGAGGAGATTGCCGTAAGTGTTACATGCTCATTTGAGGATGCAGTGCAGGGAGATAAGGAACATGATGGGACAGTGCAACAGTTGGGATGGGGAACCAGCCCTCAAAACCAGAATGGAGAGGTCTGTGTGAGAAGGAAGTTGGAACTGCTTGGACAAAGAGTGCAACAGGATGCAAGCACAAGCAAGAGCCTGACTGGAAGGGTTGGAAAAGCACTGGAATGAGATGAAAAGCTAGAGTCAGAGGGAGGATACTGGCTACTTGAATGGACAGGAACAAATAAAACGGGAAGAAAGATCAAGGAGGGGGATAAAAGAAGAAAAGAAAAGAAAAAGTCTGGAACAGTGAGTGGAGCAGAGGAGATTAAATCTACTCAAGCAAAACTTGAAACTAAGTTGTAGCATCTTTTTTAACGGAGACTAGACCTAAGCTAGTGAGGGGGACCAGGAACGAGGAAATGCTAAAACGGAGGGAAAAGGTCAGACCTGGGAGGAATAGGTAGAAGGGGTTGCACAGACTAGAGATTACTCCCTGACAGATCCACTGTAATCACACCCTTCCTCTGCTGTCAGCAATTATCTGAAATTCCCTGGAAAAGTAGGTGTCCCACTGCACAAGCATCACCACCAGGGTGATCCTGATCAAGCCCAAGCAGGGCATAACAGCCTACCACTATAAAAAGTTACTTTATAAGCTGAAGCAACAGATGTGACGAGTTCACGTTTCAGCAGTGGGGCTGAACTATATGCATATCAATCTTTCATGACAGGATAACACCTTGGTTATTTTCAACTTAATTTCCTAAAAAAAAAAAAAAAAATAGACATACATAATCATGTTTCAGGCACATCTTACTGTCCAATCACTGTTGTTAATTTTTGAACACACTTGCTAAGTTCAACTACACCTGAGTTGGGGCAGGAGAGTGAAAAAACCCTCAAACGTATTGCAGTCCCACAAATTTTATGAAAATTGGTGGCTGGAAAAAGATGAGACACCCAAATCAGGTTGCAAGAGTAACTCATTTACTGAAGGAAGGAAACAGAAGGCAAGTGTGTCAATCTTTTACTGACATTCAATAGATCTTTAAAATTCAAGAAACAGTTGTACATATGATTAAGGCAGCCACACCCTTATTTTACATTTTCATCTCTCTATTTTTATGTATATTCTATATTTATCTATTTTCCGGGCTTACTTTAGCAATTGGATTCTTGTAAGAGTTGTCCTCCTCCTCCCGTATGAAAGCAGGGGGGACCGTCCATTCACGCTTCTGTCTGAGCAGACTGTGGTTATGAGACACCATATCAGTCCTGTACTTTCGACCGTAAACCTGTGGAAAAATAAGTTTAAATTTCAGCATTACATTCGGCCATTTAAGATGAATGTTTCTTTGCTGTTGTAGCCCAAACTTCTGAATACCCTTTGCTGTAACCTGGGCTTTCTGGCTGCCCAAACTGCATGCTGATCTCTCCATTCATTTTCCTCCAGGGAAAATACGGACTCTTAATGGCTAATGACTTTAGAAACCATGTAGCAGCAGTGGCCTTCTGAGCCACAATTTGAGCGCTGTATATTCCTCAAAACTTGTCTGAGGAGAAAAACACCACTGATCTCTATCAGGATGGAAGTATGCAGGCGCTAAATACATAAATACACGAGGAAGTTACCATGACTCGGGGCTGGTGAAAGTCAACCAAAATAGTTGCATTTAAGTGATTGTCATCAGATGTGGGAAGAAATCTGACATTACAGGCTGTTTTTTAAACCCTAATTTCAGACCTTGTTATCCTGTTCACCCTCTCCTCCATATTCCCTAATACTCACCCTCCTCTCTGACACAGGACCTGTCCTAGAAGTGAAAGACCTCTACTTAACCCACCCACTGCCTTAGCTATCCCTGCTCAACTGCATGACACCTTTCTCTTTCCCCTCTGCCCAGCATAGTCCTACTGTGGCTCTGGGTTTCCAGATTCAGAATTAACATCTTCTAGAAAATTACGGTCTACTTCGTTTATGGAGAGCAGTTCAAAGAAAACAGCAACAAACTTAATGTTTTAGGGAATATTTCCCAAAGTTGAATGCCACTCAGTTTGATGGATGTAGCACTGATCCTATTCACTTCCATGCCTGCTTACATCTCACCATCCATTGCATAGTTTCAAATTTCACAAAATAGTACAACTCAAGCTATTTATCAGCTGAAGAAAAGCATGCCTTTGCCCCATGCTTTGTGCTCAGAGAACCCCTCTTCAGGCACTGATAAAAACAAACAAACAAACCCCCTACACAAAACACACAACAACAAGCAATTTTCCATCATTTCCTACCTCCAGATGGAGTCCATTTCCATAATTCAAACAGATCTGTAAAGCAAATTATATGATTATTAATCCTATGTCACTTGAGCAGTACTAAAACTAAACTTATATAACTTCCCATGTAAGAGCTGCAAAAACATGCAGAAGAAGGAATCTTACATATATAAGTTAATATTTACTACTTAATATTTACTGTTGAATAATTTACTGAAACCACATTAAAAATATGTTATAATTGTAACATTCAGCACAACGAAAGGTTTACACTTCCTTTTTCTAGCAGGGCAGGAAGCAGATAAGAAACAATTCATCTTTTCTCAGTAAATACTGACTTTACAGCTGTTTTAACAAATGATGAGAAATTGCCATTACTAGGAATAGGTGTTGATTGCCAGCAGCACCCTGGAGCTGCTCACTCTCTTCTGGGCAAATCATGGATTTTGCATGTTGTGGTGGTTTACTGACCACTTACGAGAACAAAAGGTTTTAAACAACACCCAAGAGCAAGAATACACCAAAAAAAGCTTCTGCTGAAGTATGAATGGAAAAAGTAGATGTTTACCTTGAATTTGTCTTACTGTCATGCTCTGTATTCTAAAGCACGTTATGCAGTTTTTTTGCACATGTAGCTATGTTACAAAGATCAAGAAACAAGATATGTCTGAGAGACGCTTTCTTCTTTCTCAGCTATACAACTGGTTGCACACTCTCCCAAGAGTATGACTCCAGCAGCGGTATAACGTAGTTCCTAACCAAGTTTTAAGTTCCTCTGTTTGCCTGGAAGCTCTGTATAAAATATCGCAGCAGGATGCACACTTTGCAACCACATTGAAACAGCTAGAACAGAGCAGTGGCTTGGCTTTACTCCCCCTTGCTCTGCTCGTTTCAGCTTACTGATTGCCTCAGAGTCCACTGAAAGGGAGAGAACAAGAGAATTTCTGGTGGCTGGTGAGCAGAAGTTAGATCTTCACCACCCCTCTTGTATCCTCTTTCTTTTCACATCTGAAAGCTGATCATTCTTCCAGTGATAACTTCCCTGATAAGATTGTGGTCTAGATTCATCCCACTTACCTTTAAGCACCTAACTTAGTAGGATAAATGACATGCGCTAGGAAACAAATCATCCTTGTCCTAACATGTCAAAATTCAGTATCAGAAATGCCCAGTTCATCATGCATTCAGAGCCTACGATAACTATGTCCTTTGCTTAAACACTTTAGCTAGGTATCTTGTGCTAGCTGTAACAAAGTGGAGCCTTGGCAAATTATCATAGAGCCTGTGTTTCTGCAGGCAGCAAAAACAAACAAATAAACAAACAGTGCAAAAACACAGGCATTTAGCAACAAAAAAGTAGGTTATTATAACCTGTAAAATCAACAAGTGAAGCTTTGTATAGGCAGATAAGAGAATACTTTTATTGTTCCCAGCACTTTTATATCTCCTTACATTTTGCACCTTACATGATTTTTACTCATATTAATGCCTAAGACAAAAGCAGGCTCAGAAGAAGTGATTTCCGCCTGAAATAATTAGTCAATAGTTCTTTACATTCGCTTTGGCTTGTTATCTAAATTGTGGACTGGGCTCTCCCTGTTCACTCCTTCCTCTGACTCAGTCTTAATTGCTTCATCTTACGATAGTCTCTTTTTTTCGGTCTTTTCTTTTCAGAAGACCTTATTTCTCCCACACAATACAGTGGATAGAGTTGGGAAATGCAGCAGACTGTTTCAACTTGCACAGCAAAACCCTGTTTTTCAAGTGGCAATTTTCCCAATGTATGAACCCTGAAGACAGAAATCCATGAGCAATAAGTTCCCTGTAAAGGCTAGGCACTGTAAGAGCTACAGGATCTTGGACTGCATATCAAGTTGTTTTCATAAAAATCCTCAGTCTCATTAATTGTTTGTATTAGCTTTAAGAATTTTTATTTCTTTAATAAAAATTTTGTATTGTACCAATGAGACATTAATGAGTGCATGAGATAAGCGCCAGGAAAACTGTTTGATAGTCAGTTTTTCAGCAGGGGCTGCAACTCTTTTGGAAGGTGAAGAGGTGCCAAGAGCTCATCTTGACCATCCTTGCTTGTCCTTACTGGTAAACTGAAGGGAAAAATATTTCTGTCCAAATGTTTAATGGAGATGAGAGGCACAAAACAAGAAGTTTCCTGGGAACCACAGGATAAACAAAAATATCTGAAGTCTGTGAATGGGCAGGTCTTCTACCGAGATGAACTCAAGCATATCAAGAAAGGAGGGAAGCATCCCATTGGTAATTATAAATAGAAAGTGAAATATGATGGTATGATGGAAGTGCAAGGTGAAACAGTTGAATCAATCTGAGAGTGATTTGTCTGTCTAGTAACAAAATAACCTCAAAATTTTCTGTTTTATTGATAAGATAATAAAAAACACTGCTGCCTCTGTAGGTTTCAATTTATATTCTACGGTTCACAGGGGATCTCAGAAGGGACTTCTAAAAGATCTACAAAAAGTGTTCAATAACAGCAATTTCATTTACAACATGCCTAAATCCACGTGGAAGAAATATATAAAGGGGTCCCGCATCTTCATTGAACATTTTTAAGAATCACAAATTTAAAAATGTGGAAAGATCTCTTCAGTTAAACTTTTTGGAAGCAAAAGTGAAAAGTCACGTATCCAACAGGTGTTGGATTCTGAGTTCCCTCTTTATGTAATATAGAGCTGCTTTTTATTAAATGGCTCAGTATAAGAGCCTATCATGTGGTGTAGATTAAAGCCTCGGCACAAAAAAAAGGCACCTATGATGAAATCTACTGATGACTCAAAGCTGGGAGGCATTGTCAGAAGACACTTGGATTGTTACAGAAAAGAGCTGGAAAATCTGAGGCTTGAAGAAAATACTTCCTGAAGACGGCTGGAATAGGTGAGAGGCCAAGAAAAGGAGGGAGTGACATGTACAGGGACAAGCAGGCTCTTCTAGCACAAATGAGAGTTCATGCGATAATCAGGAAGCGACTAAATGGATAGACTTTGAACATAGCTAAATTTTATACTGTAAAGATGCAGGCTGAGTAAGAAAGAAGGTGTGTGTGTCTACATTCGCTTCATTATAAAGCAAGATGCCCTAAAAATGTGGTCCTCTCATGCACAGGCAAAGAGAGCAGCGAGCAGTTCAAGGCACCCTAAAGGCAGCTCACAGTTGCTGTTTCTGTCTGGCTGCCACCGACTGTGGCTGTATCTACTTTGCAAAGCCCAGTGCAAGAGAATTTGTACAGCAAAACACTTACTGCCAAGAACCAGCACCGCACTACACACTCTGTGGTTTTTACTTCAGACTAGAATGAGTTTGATCCCATGGACCAGACACCCATGAGTGGATGAATGCATCTTTCAATTTACTTTCATCCAGAAAGAATCACGCACTCTAGAGGTTTGCTTCAAAAGCGCAATTTCATCCAAACTAAAACACTAGCATAGGTGACCTCTGTATCAACTACATCTCCATCTACCATAATAGAAACTCAAACACTTAAGTTTAGAGATCCTAAACATAATCTCACTCTTTGTCATGCAAACGGGCTCAGCAAACAGTATAATCCCTCTTTCTTCACAACTACCTTTTATTAATATTACCAGGTGTCTTATCTACTTTATTTTCTCTAGATTAAAGAATCCTAATTCTCTAAGCTCACTCCAAGAATCACAGAATATGATTCTTAAACTTAGATTTAGGAAGCCTGATTCAGAAAGGCATTTTTTTTTGCTTTCCTGTAGTCTCTCCTGAACTGATCTACTTTCTTCTGGAGCATGGTGCCTAAAATAATATATTCATTGAGTTCAGTAGGATGGATAAAATACTAGACCTTAGAATTTCACACCTGCTTTCATAATCTCATCATAATGCCTTATTTTTAAATTTTTGGAATAGTATTAGATTATTAAATCACTGCATAGATGCTTGGAAATTTTTACCATATTTCAGCATGTTATTGGGAATACAAGCTGAGATGCTTAAATTTTCCTCACCTTCGATCTTTTTAAAGTTAAGTATTATGTTTGTTGCCCTCCCCCCGCCGCCACACACGCATACAGTTTTCTATGTATTTTAAAAGGTAATAACTACTGGCTCTGAAATTACAGTAGTAATCTGATGTATACTGGACTGCATTTCATCATACCTAGACTAAGCAGAGTTAGGGATCACCGATATCAAGGAAATACAGTCTGAGAAGATGTTTAAAGAAAAAAGAAATTTTGCTACTCGCATAATAAAATCCGTACATTTCTCAGCTCTTCTTTGACTCAACTACGGATAGTGTTTCCAAGATCTTCTCTTCTAAAAAGCATGACATCGACCTGCCTAAGAAATCATAAGAAAAATCCCGTTCTAATTCTCAGTAGCTGTGCCTGCGCCGCAGGTCCGTGGCTCTGGGCTGGCACCCTGGACACGCGCCAGGCCAGGACCCAACCTAGGCGCACACTCTACCATCCTGCAGGCGCCAGTCTGTTACAGGAAAAGCTGGAGGCAGGGACACAGGCATGAACAAAGCTGCAGGGAGCTCCACGAGGTGCCCAGGCCCAACCCTAAGGGGACCCAGACTGCAGAGCAGCGTGCAAACCGCCACCAGACACTTCTAGAAAAAATAAGAAAAGGAAGAATTTGATATTTTTGATGCTTCTACAGTAGAAGACAAGTTGGGAAGACTTTTTTTTATGGCTTTTGCTTTTTTAGTAGTTTCTTACTGGTTTTGAAGTTTTCAGTGCCTTCTCTGCATACCATGAAATACAAACAACCCTATTCTGATACTGTTAAGTAAGCCACTAGATTTTCACCCAGGTTAATGGCTTTGTCCAGATTAGCAAAAAAGAGCTAAAAAAACCTGCACCACTCTTATCTTAATATCAATGAACTAAGGTAGCTCTTTGCTATAATATTCAATCTAAGGCACACTAAGGTGTTTAGCAACCAAACTTTGTTCAATTTTATTATTTGGCACCTTGCACAGGTTTTAACCGAAGGGACTGAGAACATAATTTTCCTCTTTTCTTCAGGCAAAGCCAATGGAATCCCGAGCAAGTACAAGCTCACTAAAATGGATGCTGGCACTGGTTCAGGAATTACAGAAAGAATTAGTGAAAAATTTTGTACAAGCAGCACATTTCTCATTGTGCTTTTGGATAAAAACAGAATAATATATTTTTTCAACCAAAGCACAACTCCCAGCCTGATTCTACGAATACTGTTAACTGTTACCGGCTGACTCTTAGCCAACTATAAATCCACATTACAGCTACCAAACAAGTTTCCAGTTAAGAAAGCTGATTTTGCTGGATCTCAAGCTCGGGAAACAAAGCCGCTGTCTATACCTCCTGACCCTGGCAGCCCTGCAATCTGTCCAAAAGCCTAACACGGCCCAGCTCTTTGGCTCTCCGACATTACGTACAGCCTGGCTTCCCCGCTCAGGTCCACCAGGTGAACTGCTGCCCAACTTCCGAAGGCATTTGCCAGCCTGGGAAGGTGAACAGCTAAGGAACAAGGCGTTAGACAGGAGGGAACGCTTCCTGGGTACTGCTCGAACATCTGTCCAACTCAAACAACTCAAACTTTTTTTATTTTGGTCTCAGTTCTCTGTGAAACACCGCTTTAAGACTAAAAAGACTATCTCATAGAATGGAAGATCTAAAAGTTGATAGCTAAGAGTGAGGGCAGAGGAGGAAAAAACCTGAAAAGTATTTTGGATTTTTTAAGAAACCTGTATGATTTATACAGGGCAATAAAGATTGCCACTAGATATTTTATTATCCATTTTCCCTCCTGACACTCCTCCTTCAACAAGATAGCTCAGAAACACAGAAAACATTTCAAATAAGAAAAGGAAACGCGTTCTTCCCCACCTTCCAGTTCCTACTAGACTCGGGGGGGGGGGGGGGGGGGACGAAGACCCTTTGAAGG